CTCCAGCCACCCCTCATGGGACCACAGCTGGAGGTGACATTCCTTGTGTCTGGGGCCAAATCCTGACATTCCAGTGCTGTTAACAAGGCTGAGGCAGAGCGGAGGAGGCCCCTGGTCACATCCCTGTCCCTGCAGTGTCACTGGTTGCGACAGCTCCGGCAGGGATTTGCTGGAGGGTCCATGTCCTGCCCAGTGGATGCTGTCACAGTTCCCACATGCATTGTCCACACTCCTGGGCAGTGAGTCAGGACATTCTCAGGTCATTATTTCTCCCTTTATCCCAAGTTACTCTAGATATTAGTTTTCGACACGTCCATTGACCTTCAGTTTCAGTTTGGTTTCATTGCTGTTGAAATATGGGCTTTTCCCTTTATTTCACTTATCTTCTTTTACCTCCTGAGGCAGTCCCACCTCTTCCCAGTGACATTCAGGACTTTTTTGGGCTATTTGCTGCAGTGATGTGGAAATGCTGCTTCCTGCAGCCACCATGTAACTCATGTGATTCCATGAGAAAAGTGTGGGAGGGCTTTCTTTTTCTGGTGAGCATCCTCAGTGCAGCACAAGGTGGATCCTGCAGATTTAGGCAGGGGCTGTGGGATGTGAGCAAGATCCTTCCCAAAAGGATTCCCATCCCATTGGAGCAGACCTGACCCAGTTCTTCCCACAGAAGTGCCCAGCAATGCTTCACATCTGGGCTCAGCTCAATCCTCCTGGTCTGTCCCAGGATTTGCTGCTAGATTTGGATGTGCTTCAGCTCTGATAGCTGCATTGCACCCTGACAGTGAGATGGGAGGGCTGCTGTGCAGCTGTTGAACATCTGGCTCGCACACAGGATGTGTAATGTGTGTGTGTTGCTGCTGTTCTCCTCTGCTCCTGATCATGACACTCATGACACCATGTGTCACACCCCAAAAGCAGCGTGGGAAACCTGCCTGGGCTCTGTGTAGGCTGGCAGAGGGGACAGGGATGGGGCAGAACCACCTGTGCTGTGTTTTTGGGGTGCCCCACTGGCACAGGCTGTCAGGTACAGGGGTTCTAAACCTCTTCTGCTCCACAGTTGCCTCATGGCAAAGCCTCTCCTTGAGCTTGGTGACCTTGAGTGGCCAGAGCCGGGTGACCTCGGGTGGCCAGAGCTGGCCAGCCTGGGCACAGTGGCACAGCCAAGGGGGCCATGAGGCTGTTCCTGACTCTGCTCCTGCCCACAGATCGTTCCATGAGCAGCTCACTCTCTGCCTCCCAGCTCCACACTGTCAGCATGAGGGACCCTCTGAACCGGGTGCTGGGTAAGGCGGGGATGGGTCCGTGGGGTCACATCCGACCACTGGGACACCCCCAAACGTCACCTGACTGTTGCTCTCTCCCTGTCCCCACAGCAAACCTCTTTCTGCTCATCTCTTCCATCCTGGGGGCCAAGACAGCTGGCACCCACACCCAGTTTGTGCAGTGGTTCATGGAGGAGTGTGTGGAGTGCCTGGAGCAGGGCAGCCGTGGGAGCATCCTCCAGTTCATGCCCTTCACCATGGTGAGTCCAGTGACACCCCTGTCCCTGCTTGGCGAGTGCCCCAGGGGCCCACAGGATGTGGGACACGCTCACCTGTGCTCCTCCTCTATCCCTGGGCAGGTTTCAGAGCTGGTGAAGGTGTCCACCATGTCCAGTCCCAAAATTGTCCTGGCCATCACTGACCTCAGCCTGCCCCTGGGCCGCCGCGTCGCCGCCAAGGCCATCGCTGCCCTGTGAGCTGGGCTGCTCCAGCCAGGGGATCCCTGCTCTGGGGGGATCCCTGAGGAGCCCAGGGATCTCTCCCTGCTGCTCTGCATGGCTGGGATGGCCACTGTCACTGCAGCTGCTGGAGGGCTGCTCCCTCAGCACATGGAGCCCTCTCCTTGCTCTGCCTCATGGCACTTTTGAGACTGAGACACCCCCTAATTTTTTTTTTTTTTTTTTATTCTATAAATCAATCCTTTTGTACAACCAGCTTTTGCCTCATCTCATTTGGGCTTCTGGGACTCCCCAAAACCCCTCGATCCTGGGGGTGATGGGGAGGCAGTGGCCAAGCCCTGTGCTGGGCAGGAGGGGAAATTTCCCTCACCCTGTCCTGGACCTGAGAGTGGCTGGTGGGCTGCCTGTGCTGCTCCCACTGGGTGGGGCAGGGATGCTTCCCTGCTGTGCTGTCAGCCCCAAGCAGGATCTTGGGAATTCTGCCTCATGAGTGTGAGGTCTTGTAGGAATTCCTTTCCATGAGTAGTGTGAGTTTTTGTTGGAATTCCTTTCCATGAGTGTGAGTTTTTGTTGGAATTCCTTTCCATGAGTAGTGTGAGTTTTTGTTGGAATTCCTTTCCATGAGTGGTGTGAGTTTTTGTTGGAATTCCTTTCCATGAGTAGTGTGAGTTTTTGTTGGAATTCCTCCTCATGAGTGTGAGTTCTCACTGTGATTCCTCCCTGTGAGTTCAGTCTGTGCTGAGCACGGGCAGTGGGTGAGTAACTGTGGCCTCACCAGCACCACACCAGCCTCGTGCTGGGGCAGGCTGCCCTGGGACTGTCCCCACACCCTGCCAGCTGCTCCAGCAGTGAATCCTCCAAGACCTGTCATGAACTCTTGTCCCTGGGGCAGGGGCACTGCCAGGGCGGCTGCACCTCTGCCCCTTCCACTGGTGTTGACTCACAAGAAAGGGGAAAGTGGGGCCAGCAGGTACCAGCCCTTCCCTCAGGGCACTGTGACTCCAGTGGGGTTCCCAGCCCTGTTTTGGGAGGTTCTGAAGGGAGATGGAGCACAGAGGGATCCTGGTGCTGCTGCAGGGCTTGGGTCAGTGCTGGCCAGGGAAGAGGCAGTAGGATGGTGACTCAGGGCCAGGCTGACCCCATCTGATCCCAGGATGAGCTCAGCTCCTGGCAGCCCCCAGGCTTTGCTGGAAGGAGAGACCCCGATGCCCTTGGGGTAGCTGTGGGTGTTGCTGATCCTCGGCTTTCACACACAGAGCATCCTCCCCTTCCCACTGCCCCTGGTCCCCATCCGGGGCAGCCGGGAGCAGCTGCGGGGGCTGGGTGGGGCTAATGGAGCCCTGCACGCACCGGGCTGGGCTGGGATGAGCCTGACGCTGGTGTGAGTCCCACCCTGAGCTGGCACCGACCCCCCCGGGCACTTCTGCTCGCCCAGGGGCGGCTCTTTACCGTTAGCCCGGAGCAAAGAGCGGGACCTGGCGTGGCCTTCCCAGCTCTGTCAATATTTGCCGAGGCAGCTCCATGCCTGGCATTGGCACCGGGCGCTTCCCCTTACAGGAAGGGGCTGGAGCAGGAGAAGGGGGATTTCTGTAAGCACCCATGAGGCGGGGCAGGAGGGAAGGAACTGCCCACCCCGAGGGTGAGGGCTTCCCCCTGGCAGTTTGTGATCCAGGGCTGGGAGTTGGGAGGCAGGAACTGGGAGCCCTGGCACCCCACAGTACTGGGCTCTGTCCCTGTGTGGCTGGGATGAGTGTGGTGAGGGGTGCTGGGGTGAGGGATGAGTGTGGTGAGGGATGCTGGGGTGAGGGATGAGTGTGGTGAGGGATGAGTGTGGTGAGGGATGCTGCTGGTCATGGGATGTGAGCGTGGGCCCAGAGGCAGGAAATGGGGCTGGTGAAGCTGGGACAGCCCAGGGTGGGCAAACACCCACTGGGGAGAGGCTGGGGGTGCCCTTAGGGGCTTTCTAGGGCAGGGGAGATGCCCAGGGCTCTCTGACATTACTCATCCACATTGGGGGTGCCCCTTTTGCCCATCCACTCTGCCTTCCTCACTGCTGAAAGCCTCCTCCCACCGTGGCACATCCCTGGGCACTGGGAGGGCTCCTGGCACATCCTTGGGCAGATTCTCTGTGTCACAGCAGCAGCACAAGGGTGGCTGGGGTACCCCAGTGCCACCAGCCCCAGGATGAGCCCACAAACCAGCTCTGGGCACGGTGCTGGTGCCCTCGGCGGGCGCGGGCGGCTTCCGGAGCTTTCTAGGAATCGGCTCTTGCCCAAGCAGCCCTAGGGGTGTGGGAGGAAGTGGCCATCCCACAGCACGGGCTCAGGCCGTGGGGTGGGGGCACTGGGGGGGCTGCATTTCATCTTTCTGAGCTGACACCAGCAGCTGCAGCCTCGCCCCAAAGTTCCATTCCCTCATCCCTCCTGTCTCTGTCCCTGTGTCCCCACAGCCTGGCCACTCTGCCTCCCTCCCACGCAAGCAGGAGACAGCGGAACAGAGAGAGAGAGAGAGTGCAAAAATAGAGTTTATTTCCATTTTTATCACATAGAAAAAAGCGGGTGTTTCTTGGGGCTCACCCAGCTGCAGCAATAAATACAGTACAAAACCCCCCACGCCCAGAGCTCCCACACAACCACGGGACTGGGGCTGCGTCAGGCTCAGGAGGGTGGGAATGTGTCCAAGTGGCTCCTTCCGGCCAGGGATGGGCACAAATAAGTTAAACTGCAATCAGTACTCTGAGTTTAGCAGGGAAGGGGGACAGAGCAGAGTTGCAGCTCCCCAAAGTGCTGGGGCTCCCCAGAAAAGCCTCATCCTGGTGAGGCTGCTGCACCCCTATGGTTCTTCCATCTTCCCTCCCCTCCCTCCCTAATGGCTAATAAATATTAATTACTAGAAATAACACCCATCAGATGTGTCCCTGCAGGCTGCAGCCCAGACAGGGAGATGCTGCTCTGGAGCATTCTCATCCTGGGATGTTTTCCAGTGGGATGATGCAGCAGCCCCAGCAGTGCAAGCCATGGGGAAACTGAGGCACAGGCAGTGCCAGCAGCAGCTGTGGGGGCTCAGCCCAGCTCCAGAACCTCGTAGCAGAGATACGCTTGTGTTTAAATATTAAACAAGGGTGATGCTGCACAGGGACCTGTGCATGGATCCACCACGGGATCCCTTGGCAGGGGGAGCATCCCCAGACAGATAAATATTAAATAGCCATAAATATTAAATAAGCAGGAAAGGGGGTGCTCCCGGGATGTCCCTCAGGTGGGACATCCACGAGCAGGGGTCAGAGGCTGGCGAGGTGCCGCAGTGCCCGGTACGCCGTCTCCAGGAACCGCTGGAAGTTGGCCAGGATGAAGAAGCCGCCGACTTGGTGGTGGAATTGGGAGGAGAAGGTGGGGACGGGGTCCTGGTGCTCTGTGGGGTACGTCACCGTGGCCAGGCCCAGGTCTTCCATCTGCAGCCAGGCAGAGGCAGAGGCATCAGCTCCAGGCCTGGAGATGCCCCCCTGCCCCAGTGTGCCCCTCCTGGGCCTGCAGCCCCCACCATGCCCACCCAACCCTGTGAATACAACCCCTGCCATGTGAATGCAGCCCCTGCCATGCCCACCCAGCCTTGTGAATGCAGCTCCCACCATGCCCACCCAACCCTGTGAATACAACCCCTGCCATGTGAATGCAGCTCCCACCATGCCCACCCAACCTTGTGAATGCAGCTCCCACCATTCCCACCCATCCCTGTGGATGCAGCCCCCACCGTGCCCACCCCTCCTTTGGGATGCAGCCCCTGCTTTACCCACCTGTCCCCCCCACAAAGCCCCCCCTTTGCCCCCTCACCTGCTGCTGGATGTTGGAGGACAGGTTGGCCATATCCAGCTGCAGGGTGTCCACCAGTCCAGCGTGCCCGGGCAGCAGGGCCCGGATGGTGGCCAGAGAGCCGTGGTAGACGCGGAGGCCGGCACGGATCTGGCTGAAGCAGGTCTCCTGTGGTGGGCATGGTGTGGTCAGTGGGGCTGGCCATGGCCTGGCCACCAAGACACGGAGGCTCTGGGGTGGCCTGAGCTGTGACAGAGCCGAGCAGCTCATGGCAGGGGTGGGCTGCCCGCACTCACTGCCTGGAAGGTGCGCCTGTGACACTGCTCCAGCGGCGCCTGGGCGATGTCCAGGTCCTGCCGCACCAGCAGCAGCTCGTCCTCCTTGCACAGCTGGAGGGTGTCACACTGTGGACAAAGGGGACAGAGTGAGGATACCAGAGGACCCTGACACACCCAGCACCCCCAACATCCCATCCCTGGGCTGTGGGACCCTGGAGTGGACCCGGTGCCGTGGGGACGGGGGTGTGGCTGTTGTGTAGCCCGGAGGGTCACCACATGTCCCCGGTGGGTGCCCCAACACCCCAGGGCTGAGCCTTGGGCAGTGCAGGGGACACTGCTGGCTCCTGGCCCTGCAGTGCTGATAAGGGCAGGGAGGGGGTCACCTTATCTGTGACCTCGCAGTGGCTGCCATCCCCCCTCGGCAGCGTGTGGGACTCACCACCAGGCGCTGCAGCGCAGCCGCGTCCCCGCGGATCTTGCGGGTGAACTCGAGGTTCCTCTGCAGGAAGAGCTGGAAGTCCTGGTCCCCTGAGAGCTCGGTCAGTGGTGCCCCATGCAGTGTCCACCACGGTGCCCACAGCAGCACAGCCAGCAGCAGTGCCAGCCCACCTGTGGGGACAGCAGGTCAGCACCCACCCCACAGAGCCTCAACCCCACAGCTGGGATGGGCTCAGCAGCCAGGACCACCCTGGGGATGGTGGCAGCAGCAGCGTGGCCTGGGGACAGGGCAGAGACCCCAAAAGGGGAGAGGGACCAGTGCTCCCAGTGCCAAGGGCAGCAGCAGGGGGCTCTGGATGTGTGGGTGCAGCAGGTGCTACAGGTAGGGTGGGTTTAGGGGTGCTCTGGGGGCAGTGGGGGCAGTGGCTTTTAGGGGTGGTTTGGGGGCAGTGGGAGCAGTGGGTGCTGTGGTTTGGGGGCAGTGGGTCCTATGGGCAAAGTGGGTTTTAGGGGTGGTTTGGGTGTAATAGGAGCAGCAGGGGAAGCGGGTGCAATGGGAGCAGTGGGAGATGGGGGTGCTGCATGGCTACTCACGGGTGAGGAAGCACATGGTGGGTGCCCGGCTCGGTGTCTCCTCCTCTGTGCAGCGCGGCCCTGCCCAGCCCGGCCCAGCTCCTCTCGCTCCTGCCCGGCTGTGCTCATTGATCGGGTGGCATTTATAGCGCACGGGCCTCGGGGATTCTCACCGATGAGGCAACAGCGCGATTGCTTCACTGCCTTAATCACAGCATGCAAATCTCCCGGACCGGGTGCTCGGCCGTGGCCACAGCCTGGGGCTTTCCCGGGGCCGGTGGGCAGCGGTGCCCCTCAGTGTGGCTGCAGCCCCGGTGGAGCCCAGGCAGCGGGGCAGGTGCCGGGACAGGGCAGGAGGTGCCTCGGTGACTCATTAACCTGCTCGCCGGGCTCCCACCACGCTGGCCAGGTGGGGCAGTGCCCAGCACAGCAGGGTCATGTGCGGGGTCACTCACAGGGTCACTCGCAGGCGGCCGGCCAAGGGGATGGTGGCTTCTCGCTGCTGCTGTCACTCTGGGGTTGTCCCCATCCCCGGCCCACGTGGGCAGCACCCCCTGGCAGCTGCCCCACACATCAGGGTGGGTGCTGGTGGTGTGACCTTCACGGTGGCGGCACCAGCTGGAGGTGGCCAAGGTGAGACCCGGTCCAGGCAGGTGCCCAGGGCTGTGGCTCCCGAGGGCAGCACCACGGGGCCAGATCCTGCCCTGCTGGGCACTGTGGGGCCGGGTTGTGCCCAGTGCAGCACCAAGCACCGGCCCCATCGGGCTGACCCCACCCGCGAGGGGCCAAGCCCCCCCTCTGCCCCTGCGGGGAAGAGGCTTCCAGGGCAGCCCTGGGCACGGGCTGGCTGCTGACGGTCCCGTTGCGTTGACGAGGGAATTTTGGCTCGTGCCGGTTCCCGCAAGTCCTTCCAGGATCTGCTGGCCGGGTGCCAGCTGGCCGGCTCCTGCCCGGCACGGGCCGCCCGGGGCACGGGAGGCACCCGCTCCCCTCACAGCCCCGGCCAGGGTGAGCCCAGGGCAGGATTGGGCTGGGGAGGTTCATTCTGCACCCCTGACCCCTGGCTGGGTCCCATCGCTGCCCTCCTGGGGGCTCTGGGGACAGGGATAGGGATGGGGCAGGCAACCCGGTCTCTGCAAGTTGTAGATGTTGGCGGGCACTGGGATGGGCCACACACCCAGCGGGGTAATTTGTGGGGTACAGTTTGTGGGGTACAGCACCAGTCCCAGAAGCTGGAAGTCCTGGAAGTTTCTGCCTTTAGCTGGGAAATAAACCCCCATCAGCTGCAGCCAATCCATGAGTACCAAGCAGAGCCTTCCTGGCACAGCCAGGTGTGAACTCTAAAAATTACTGCTGACCTCCCTTCGAACCTGGCAGCACTAAACGTTCTGCCCTCTGGGTGTGTGAAAGGACCTTGCCAGCAGAGAACGTTCATGGGATTTTTGGGAGAAACAGCCACCCCAGCTGTGCCTGTCCCCACCCTGGTGGCCATTGAGGGGCTCAGCGTGGTCCCCTCAGTCTGGGCACTCACGGGACCAGCACGGAGGGTGAGGATCTGCCCTCTCAGCAGGATGGTGCTTTCAGGAATTGTGCTGGGGGCGTGGGGGGGTTGAATCAGTGCCCAAAGGCCCTGTCAGCTTTCCAAGGAAGGAAGTGGTTTCAAATCCGAAACTGGGGATGTTGGGGGATGGGGGAAGGAGGTGGCCCAGCAACCCCCCCAACCATGGGGCTGGAGCTTCTTGGTCCAGGGACTGTTCCAAGAACCCATCCTGCTCTGTTTCAGCCTCGTGGCCACCCTTCCTCTTCACCCTCAGCCCCTTCCTGACATCTGCCAACTGCCCAGTGCTCCTGGGATGTCCCTGTGTCCCAGTGCCAGCCCCCCTGGCTGGGCTCTTGCCTTCCCTGGTGTCCCCCAGAAAGCCCCAGAGCGGGAATGGGCTGGGACAGCCCCGCTCTTGACCTGCAGCCCTGGCTGCCCTCCCGGCCTGGGCGGGGCTGGGAGATTCCCAGATTTTCTCAGAGAACTCATCCCTGATGATGCTGATGGGACCCACCTGGAGTGGCTGTATGGTCCCTGTCCCCATCAACCCCCAGGGCTGGTGGGGCACAAAGCGGGCTCTGTGCCTTTCCCAATGGAATCCTCCTGGGATACCATCCTGGAGGCCACTCCCAGCACCACTGAGACAAAGCTCCAGCATGGCCTGACCCAGATTCAGTCCCATCTCTGGTGCCTAGCCCCAGGGAGAGAGAGCAGAGACCCCAAACCAGCCCCATGCCCCTTCCCCATCCCAACAAACCCACAGCAGGAGCCACCATGGCTGGTGTTTTTCCATCTTTTATTTTAAAAGTCATAATTGAAGTTTAACAAAGTTTGACCCCATTGTGGGAGCTGGGAGGGCACCAGTGGAGACCCCACTCCTGCTCCCTCCAGCCCCACTCCCCTCGCTGCCCCCCGGCATCGGCTCCGATGTCACCACAGGGATCCTTTTAAGGATGTTTTATTGGGGAGGGGGTCCCACCACAAGTGCAGGTGGTCAGGGGGTGTGGGCCCAGGGAACCCCCTGTGTCCCCTCCCACAGTACAGACATGCAGGGATTTATAAAAGGGGGTCTGTGGGGGACGGAGGGCCCTGCTCAGCCACCATCTGTCCAAGGGACAAATAAAAAAGCACAGCCAGGGCCCAGGGTCACGGGAAACCGTCGTCATCGTCCTCTGCCATCTCCTTGGCAAACTCCAGGTCCTGCTGCTCACGCTCCCGGCGCTCCTGGAAAGCAAAGGCCGAGGTTGGTGGCAGGTGGGGACAGGAGCCACATTCTTCCCGTGGCCGTGGTGGCCGCAGAGATCTCACCTCTGCAGATTCCAAGTCCTTGTTGTAAGATTTGGGTGGGAACCTCATGGCCTGGAGAAAAAGAGGAGGAGTAGCTCAGAGCTGAGCCAGCCCTGAGCCACGTCCTGCTGTCCCCATCAGGGACCTGGGGACAGGCTGTGCTCACCTTCACCGACATGTTGTGGATGTCGAGGCAGAAGGAGATGCGCTGGTGGAAGGCCAGCTGGGGCTCCCGCGTGGAGTAGATGTCGATCATCTCCTTGGACTGCACGTAGCCCTTCTCGTGGTTGATGCTGGCCTCGATCACGCCGTCCCGGATGGCCTGCGAGCCCGGGCACGGGGCAGGGCACAGGGTGTCCCCAAGGGCTCACACAGAGCGGGCACATGGCGCCCTGAGCGTCCCCCAGTTCTCCCTGGAGGAGCCTCAACCCAAACCCAGCGGTGCTGCAGGGAGGGGTGTGGGGGGGACGGGGCAGGGTGGGGGGCTGTGGGCACCCTGGGGTCCCACAGGGAGGGGATTCCCTGTGCTGGTACCTTGGCAACGATGAACTCGGCGTCCTCGGGGCTGTCCAGCTGCAGCTTCTGGGCGATGTCAGCCAGGGAGATGCGGGAGTAGGAGAGGCTGATCATGCGGACACCTGCAGGAGAACGGAAGGGGATGCAGCCCCTCAGGTCTGCCCAGCCTGTTGGGGGTCCCCCAACACCCTCCTACCTGTCTTGATGACGTTGTGCCTCAGCCGAATGATCAGGGTGTAGGTGCCATCGGCCTGGAACTTGTCCCCAAACTGGTCAAGGACTTGGTTGAACTTGGCCAGGTTCCCTGTCCTGACGGCTGGAGGGAAGAGGGTGGGAATGGGGGAAGGAGAAAGGCTGGGGAAAGCAAGTCAGGGCTGGCTGACTTCCTCCTTCTCCTCCTTCCCAAGGGGCATCTGCATCCAACTCCCATCAAGGCAGAGAATTCCCACTGGGTCCCTTCCCACTGAGGATATTCCATGATTGTATGACACTGCAGGAAGGACAGACAGGCAGGGGTGGGCAGCCATACCCTGGGTCAGCAGGAAGTAGGGCATGAGCGAGCGCTTGAGCGAGGGCTGCCGGAACTGGAGCCTGTCCGGGATCTCCCCGAGGAGCAGCTCCACCACGATGAGCAGCTTGTGCACCTGGGGCAGAGCAGGACTCTGAGTGAGTCCCCATGGAGCCTGAAACCATCCCTGTCCCTGTGTATTCCAAGAGGTCTTGCATCCATCCCCGTGGGGCACAAGACTCCAGGAGATCCCAAACCTGTTCCTGTCCCTGTGGGGCCTGGAAGGTCCCAGATTTGTCCCTGGGAAGTTCCAAACCTAGGAGGTCCTGCACCTGTCATCCCTGCAGAGCCCAACCCTGGGGGGTCCCAGATCTCATCCTGAAAGGTGCCAAGCCTGGGAGGTCTCAGAACCATCCCTGTGGAGCCCAACCCTGGACCTGAGCCTGGGAAGTCCCAAATCCCAGGGGACCTGACATCCAAGGAGGTCCCAAACCTGGGAGATCCCAAACTAAACTCCATGGGGCCTGACATCCCAGAAGGTCCCACATCCAAGCCCTGTGAGATCCCAACCCTGAGGAGTCCCAAACCTTGGAGTTCCCAAACCAAATTCCATGGCGCCTGACATCCCAGAAGGTCCCAAACCTTGGAGTTCATAAACCAAATTCCATGGTGCCTGACATCCCAGAAGGTCCCAAACCTTGGAGTTCATAAACCAAATTCCATGGTGCCTGACATCCCAGAAGGTCCCAAACCTTGGAGTTCATAAACCAAATTCCATGGTGCCTGACATCCCAGAAGGTCCCAAACCTTAAGAGTTCCCAACCCAAATTCCATGGTGCCTGACATCCCAAAAGGTCCCAAACCTTGGAATTCCCAAACCAAATTCCATGGCACCTGACATCCCAGAAGGTCCCACATCCAAGCCCTGTGAGATCCCAACCCTGAGGAGTCCCAGACCTGGGAGTTCTCAAACCTGGGAGTTCTCAACCCAAATTCCATGGGGCCTGACATCCCAAAAGGTCCCACATCCAAGCCCTGTGAGATCCCAACCCTGAGGAGTCCCAGACCTGGGAGTTCTCAAACCTGGGAGTTCTCAACCCAAATTCCATGGCGCCTGACATCCCAAAAGGTCCCACATCCAAGCCCTGTGAGATCCCAAACCTGGGAGTTCCCAAACCAAATTCCATGGTGCCTGACCTCCCAGAAGGTCCCAAACCTTAAGAGTTCCCAACCCAAATTTCATGGTGCTTGACATCCCAAAAGGTCCCACATCCAAGCCCTGTGAGATCCCAGCCCCGAGGGGTCCCAGCCCCAAGCCAGGGGGCTCCTGCCCCCTCCTCACTCACCGTCTGCTTGAAGCCCACGGCCGTGTGCTGCGGGGCCTTGCGCAGGGCATTGGTCATGGTGCGCCGCGCCTCCGAGTACTCCAGCTGGATGGCCTTGATCCGCCCTGCGCCCACACGGGGCGGGTGGGGAAAGCCACCCAGTGAATCCAACCTGACCTACACGGATGGGGCTCCAAATCCTGCCTGGAAGCCCCACCTCCAGCTGATCAAAGGGGTTCTCTGAGGAACCGGAGGTGCCGGGAGGAAGGGCAGGCACCGAGCCTCGCTCACCTGTGTAGTACAGGTACCGAGCCCACTCGTTGTTGTTGGCCTGCTCGGGGAACACGGATTTGGAGACGAGTTTTTCAGCCTGGTCGTAGAGGTTGTAGTGAAGGTAATTCCTCAGGAGCAGGTTCAGGAGCGTGGCCTGGCCGTCGGCGTCGTGGCGCAGCGTGGCCGTGCGGAGCCGGGCGTGCAGGAAGCTGAGGGGTGGGACAGGGAGTCAGGGAAGAGGGAGGAAAACAGGGGGATCAAGCTCAGGGACAGCCCCCCACAGGAAGAAGAGGAAAACCAGGGGGATCAAGTGCAGGGATCCTTTTAAGGATGTTTTATTGGGGAGGGGGTCCCACCACAAGTGCAGGTGGTCAGGGGGTGTGGGCCCAGGGAACCCCCTGTGTCCTCTCCCACAGTACAGACATGCAGGGATTTATAAAAGGGGGTCTGGGGGGGGATGGAGGGCCCTGGAGTTTAGTTTGGGATCTCCTCCCATAGGAAGAGGGAGGAAAACAGGGGGATCAAGCTCAGGGACAGCCATCCCACCTGCGGACCACGTCGAGTTTGTTGAGGAATTCGTAGATGCGGGAGTGGTAATAGTAGCACTTGGCCACCACCAGGTCCAGGGCCCGGCGGTTCTGGGAGCTGATCTTCTGCATCAGATCATCGGACACCTTCTGAGCCTGAGGGACAGCAAGGGAGGTCAGAGCAGGGGGACTGATCCCAGGAGGGGCAGAGACCACCCGGGCTGTGGGGAACAAGCAAACACTGCTGGGATGAGGGACAGCATGGGGCAGAGGCAGGGGATGCTGGGGGGCAGCTCAGGGTCTCACCTCGGGGTACCTCTTGCTGTTCATCAGGTAGATGACGAGCAGCAGCTGCAGGTAAGCCTCCACCTCTGGCAGGAGAGGGGCTGAGGCTGCTTTTCCTGTCCGTGGGCGGAACTGCAGCTCAGCTTCTGTGTCCATGGACTGAGGGGAGAGAGAAATTCGGGATCACTGTCCCTGTGTGGAGACAGCTCTGCTCCAGGTGTGACAGCAGCCAGCCCAGGACTGCAAGGATCTGTCCCTGTTCACAGGTGTGTCTGAGCAGAGGGGCTGCTCGTCCCCAGTGTCCCCAAACCCCACTGCCCTACTCCAGAGGCTCCTTGGAGAGGGAAAGAATCATGGAATTCCAGGCTTTTTTGGGTTGGAGGGGCCTTCAAGTTCATCCCTACCCTGCCATGGGTAAGGACACCTTCCACTAAATGAGGTTGCTCCAAGCCTTGTCCAACCCAGCCATGGACACTTCCAGGGATGGGGCAACCACAACTTTCCTGAGAAATCCATTCTGGTGCTTCACTGCCCTCACAAGGAAGAATTTCTGGCCAATATCCCATCTGATCCTGCCCTCTGTCAGTAGCAAGCCATTCCTCCTTGTCCTGTCACTCCAAGCCCTTGTAAATAGCCCCTCCCCATCCTTCCTGTTGCTTCTTCAGATACTGGGAGGCCACAATTAGGTCACCCCTAAACCTTCTCTTCTTCAGGCTGAACAATCCCAATTTTCCCTGTTCTTTCTCACAGCTGAGCTGCCCCATCCCTTTGATTATCCTCTGGATTCACTCCTATACCTCCACATCCTTCCTGTGCTGGGGCAGTGTTGTTGCAGGCTCCCAGCTGGGTAATAATTAGCACTGACTCTATGATTGCAGAATGCTGATCAATTGTTTTATTCTACTAGATTATACTATACTCATTAAGAAGCTCATCATCTTTACAGACAGTCTGATACAGCTTTGACTTAACTGGTCAGTCTCTTTAAACACCACCACCAGTCTAATCAAGAAATCCCCCCTTGGTAAATAATCTCCATAACACATTCCACACGTGCACAACAACAGGTGCAGCAAGTGGAGATAAGAATTGTTTCTCATTCTTTTCTCTGATTTTCCCACAGGAAAATGCCTGGGGAAGTCCTCGGTTGCTCTCTGTGGCCAGAGAGCTGCTGCCACAGGGGGTAGGGGGGTGTCACCAGAGCAGGGCAGGGGTGAGGGCAGCAGGTGTGCCTACCTCCTCCAGGAATCCCAGCAGGAAGTCCCTGACAGTGCAGTTGGAGGTGAAGAAGCCGTGGATGGCCTTGTGCAGCACGTTGGGGTTGAGGCGGCGGGAGGTGGAGGGCAGAGCCCGCAGGGCCCTCAGGACGTAGCGCGGCTCCTTCCCCGACACCGCCTTCTCCAGCTGCTTCACGTGCTCCTTGATGTCTGTGGGGGCACACACGGACACCCCTCAGCCCAAACCCTCTGCCAGCAGCACCCCTGAGCAAAGCCAGGGCTGCCCCCTTGCCCTGTCCTGCTGTTCTGAGGTGCCTCTGCCCTTGGTGTCCCCAGTGACCTGCCCTGCTCTCAGGGCTGGCCCTGTTTGGAGCAGGGGGGTGGTGAGGCCCTTGCAGTTTTCTTCCTCCTTGCCTCTCTCTGTCCCCCCACAGCAGCCCCCCTGTCCCTCACAGTCTGTCCCCAAACACACCCTCACCTTCACAGAGCCACCCCAATTCCCTTCTACAGTGATGCCCCCAAAACACAATTCCATCCCCCATTCTCCAGTGACCCCAAAACCAACCTCCCCTTCCTTTCCCTCACACACTGCCCCAAACACCCTTCTCCAGTGTCTCCCGCACAGAAAACACAGCTCCCATCTCCATTTCCCTCCCTAAATCCCTTTCCCTATACTGACACCCCCCCAAACACACTTCCTCTCTCCCTTTCCCACACGGTGGCCCCCATCTCCCCTTCCCCAAAGTGTCTCCTACCCTAAACTCACATTTCTCTTTCCCTCAGAGCCCCCACCACTGATCCCACCATTCCCCTCCTCCATCACCTTCCCAGCCCCTTTCCCACCCTCCCTCAGGTACCCCCACCCTGACTCCCTCCCCAACCCCCTCAGGGCTTCCTGTACCTCCCCCCAATCCCCCTCCTCCAACACCCCCTCTCAGGGCTTCCCCCGATCTGTGCCAGGCCCCAACCCCCCTCAGTCCCCCCCTCATCCCCACAGACACCCCCATTACAACAACACCCCCCCCTCACCCTCCAGCGTGATCGCGTCCAGCTCCCGCTGCGGCTGCCGCTCTCCGGCCGCCTCGGGGGCTACCGGCGCCGCCTCCTCGTGCATCTCGACGTCGGGGGGTGCGGGCGGGGGTCCCTCCGGGGGTGCCTTGGCCTTGTCGCCGCGGCGGCGGGACGCGCCGTCCTGCTTCATGGCGTGACACTGCACAACGGGCCGCCAGGCGCGACCAGCCGAGCGACGAGCGACACACGATCGTCTCCTTCCGCCTTTCGCTCGGCCGTTTCCGCTCGCGCTCGGGTTGTTCCGTCGCGCTTTCGGATAGCTCAGGCACCGCTCGGAGAGTTCCGTAGCTCCCGCTCGTGGAGTTTCGTGATGCTCTCGGGTGTTTCCGTCTCGCTCGTAGATTTTCGCCTGTATTTTCGGGCGTTATTGCCGAGCCCTCTCGGAAGGTTCCGGTATCGATCGGCTTCTTTCGCCGCTCTCCTTCGGGAATCTCCGTAGAGCTTTCGGGCGTTTCCGTCGGGTGCTGAGCTGTTCCCGCCTTTTGGGGGCGCGGGCGAGTCTTCGCTGAGGTCCCGTGAGGGGCTTGTGTGTGAGGGGGCATCCCGTGAAGGGTCCTGTGAGGGGCTGGTCTGTGAGGGGGCATCCCGTGAAGGGTCCTGTGAGGGGCTGGTCTGTGAGGGGGCATCCCGTGAAGGGTCCTGTGAGGGGCTGGTTTGTGAGGGGACATCCCGTGAAAGGTCCTGTGAGGGGCTGGTCTGTGAGGGGGCATCCCGTGAAAGGTCCCGTGAGGGGCCGCGCTGGGACCAGGTCGGGGGTCCCGTGAAGGGTCCAATGAGGGGCTGGGCTGGGATCGGGGATTCTGTGGAGGGTCCCGTGAGGGGCCGAGCTGGGACCGGGTCGGGGGTCCTGTGAAGGGCTCGTCTGTGAGGGGGGATCCCGTGAAGGGTCCCGTGAGGGGTTGGGCTGGGATGGGGGATTCTGTGAGGGGTCCCATGAGGGGCCGCGATGGGATCGAGGATTCTCTGAGCGGTCCCTTGTGGTCCATGTGGGGTTGGGCTGGGACCGCGGACCCTGCAAAGGGTCCCTTGTGGACTTGGGAATCCTGTGAGGGGCTGGGCTGGGATCGGGAATCCTGTGAGTGAGGAGGGGGCTGGGAGCAGGGGTCTCACGAGGGGCCAGGTTGAAGCTGGGGGTTCTGTGAGGGGTCTGGTCTGGGACTGGAGCCAAAGGGTTTCATGGTGGTTCCAGGTTGGAGCTGGGCTCCCCTCGTAGCTGTTGCAAGGCAGAGCCTGGTCACTGGTGCTCCCAGAGCCGTCAGTCCCCACACAGGTGAGCAGTGCTGCCCTTGCTGCAGGCACCCATGGCCTCCAGAGACCCTCCCAGAGCTCCACAGCCTGAGGGACCCCCCTGACTTCTCCCCAGGGCTAAGTGCCTGTATTTTTCATATAGCATCCAGAGCTTGCCAGATGTGCTGTGGAACCAAAACTACACAAGATTAAGAAATTGACTTTGAGAACATCCAATTGTGTATCAAAAAGGTCCTCTTTATTTATAGAGTGATAATGAGAGTATGTTTGCTCTAAAGTGCTCCATGTGTCCATTGAACATCTCAGGGATGATGGCAGTGCTGGGACCAGGGTGGTGTAAGTAAAACAAATCCACTTTGATACCCAACCTTTAGTAGCCATAATGAATTTTCTAGCCTTAAATTTCCTTTTGCCAGCCAAATCAGCCTTGATTATTAACAAGGATGATATAGGGAGAGAAAACTGGCTTGTCAGTAGAGAGTTCACAAGACCTCAGAGGGGTTCCCTGGGCAGGGCCAGGGACCTGGAACCACTCAGGAAGTTAAGGGCATACAGGGCCACAAACAAGGCTGCCACGGCCTCAGTGGGTTTATCCCTAGGGGTAACTGATCCATCTTCCTGGAGCTGCACTCCACTAAGCTCCACCAGGGCAATGGTTAACATCTGTTCCTCCTCCTGTGAGAAGAGCACATTGGCATCCACAAGAAAAGTCTCCTCCCCCTTATCCAGGTCATGTTTCAGGAGATTTTCAACCTTCACAGCGACAACAAAAAAAAGCAAAATCAGAATTTCAATCAATTGTCAACTTGTGTCATCATTATGGAAATGTTGCTAGAATTAACATATCCCCTTGAAAGGAGCCAAGTGTGCTGTGTGTTCTCACCAGGTTCAGCTGTTGGGATACAATCTTCCTTTCCAAGGATTCCAGCAGCAGCAGCAGCTGATCCTCCGTTAACTCTGCAGAAATAAACTGGGTTTGGATCCAAACCCTCCCACCAAGGTGATGGAGGTTGCTGGTGGCACAGGACTGGTGAGCAGGATGGGAAAGAGTGAAGAGGATGGGAAGGGTGATCATTTCTTGTAGGAAATGCTGCTTTGGTCTGAGATTCTTTGGATGTTTTAATGGAAATGCTTTGTGCAGGCTTACTGTGAGAGTGATCTGGCTGTTCCTCACAATATCCAATATGGAATATGGAGTTGGGAAGGATCTAGAAGGATAATTGATGTCCAACTCCTGTCCCTGCACAGGACACCCCAACAATCCCACCCTGTGCTGAGAGCCTTGTCCAAACCCTGCTGGGAGCTGTGTCAGCCTTGGGGCTGTGACCATTCCCTGGGGAGTCTGTTCAGTGCCTGAGCACCCTCAGGGATAAGAACCTTTCCCTGATATCCAACCCAGCTGTCCCAGACACAGCTCCAGCCTTTTGCTTGGGTCCTGTTGCTGGTCAGCAGAGCAGAGATCTGGGCTGCCCTTGGGAGGAAGCTGTGCCCAGACTTTGAGGGAGCAGGGAGCCCTGGATGGGTGCAGAGGGGGTTTCTCTCCTCTCCTCTCCCCTCCATGGGACTTGGATGTTGATTCCACTTGAAGAGGAGGAGGAGTATGAGGAAGGCAGGAGGGAATGGCAGGAGTGGGAGTCATCCCTGCCTTGATTTCCCTCGTGAAGCCCCAAAGCCTTACCATGCAAAGCGTCAAGGACGTAGGTGATTCCTTCTGCCAGCAGAAGGAGATGATGTCTTGGGGATTGCTGTAAGATGCTGAACAGTTCCTTTAAGTCTGGGCTCTCAGTTCTCAGCTCATAACCATCATTTTGCTCAGTAACTTCTTCCATCTGTGAGGAAGAAGGAAAAGAAATGTCAGGATTTGAGGGCAGAGGCTGCTGCTTGTCCTGAGCAGGGAGATGTGCTGAGAGAGGGAATTTTGGATGGGCAGTTGTGGCACAGGGCAGGTGACTTGTGGGACAGGAGGAGTGGTGTGGATGTGTCTGTTATAAATTGTGGCAGTGAGAAAAGCTTCACTTACTTTCTGGCTGAGCTCTTGAAGGAGGTTCTTGTCTCTCATCGCAGCTTTGATGGTGTTTAAGGTGATGAGCAGCAGGTCAGGAGACAACTCGGGGAAAATTCGGCAGAAATATTGAACTTCTGTCATTACTTGTCCTAATTTTCCTGCTGAGGGACCTGCAAACCAGAATGAGTCCAAATCTGTCACTTGAGTTCTAGGAGTGGCAGCTCTAAGCCTAGAGTTTGGAACACTCATTTGAAGTGAACTGGAACTGGGGCAGTTGTGGTGTCTCAGGGAAGAGGCAAATACATCTCTCCTGGTGATTTGTTTTATGCTGGGAGATTCCATCTTACCCAAAGCAGCCAAAAGTTGTGCATGTGGAAGCAGTAAAATACATTACTTACCATCAGCTACATAAGTTTGCTTTCTCACAGCTTCTGCTGGGAAATAATCCAGATCTAAAAGAGGATAAAACAACAGTTTTCTATACCAGCCTCCCCAGTGGTGGTCACCCACTCAGCCTCCTCCCTGGCTCTTCTCTTCTCAGTAGGAAAGGAAAAGAAACACCAAAACTCTGCTCTCTGTGCCATTTATCACCAGGGGCTCTGCAGCTCCTGAAATGTGGATCTGAGGCTCCCTTCTTTCCTTTCTTTACTGGTCCCTCCCCAAAGAGCATCTTTGAACTTGCATGGTTTGTCTGAGCTCCCCCAGGTGATTTCTGTCTCTCACACCGTCTCCTCCTATCTGCAGACAAGCTGAAGGTAGCTCTGGGGGCAAGTGGTACTTCATAAAATGTTCTTCCTCTTCTGGGATGGAGAACTTGCTCATTTCTGGGAGTTGCTTACCCCATGCTCCATCTCTGATGTGTAGTGGGATGGTCCTGAAGGCCAGCGTGCAGCCCTTGGGTATCACTATGCTTTGTTTGTCCTCCCTGTTGCTCTGGATAAAGAAAACAACCTGTCAGAACACCTGGGTGCAGCTGCTGGGGAAGCAAGGAGGGAGAAGCCAAACCTGTGCACAGAGTGAAGCATAAAATTTGGCCTTGAAGCCCCCATCTGCCTTGGTGGATTCCTTGTAGACAGCCTCCTCTGAGGCCTCGAGGATTTCAGTGACCACACAGAGCTTGATGTCTGTTCTCTGGAGCTGTTGGATGAAGGAATGATCCATGTTGATTTCCCTAAAAGAGGAAAAGCATGGGAAGGGTTTGGAGCACCAGGAGCAGCTGAGGCATCTGGGGGGATGAGCCTGTATGGGGGAACTTGTCACTCCATTTCCTGTCCAACCTGGCCTCATTAGAGGAAGTTCATGCCCTAAGTTCTTAATCTTGGTTTTTGGCTGTTGAAAACCCATTGTTAACCTGGTGTGTGCTGGAGGGAGATGACTGGAGCATGTCTGATCCCTTTCTCATTGCTTACCTTTCTCTTCTCAGTGCCTCCAGTGATTCCAGTGATATGCTCTTCTTCTGTGGCATAATGGAAAACTCTTTGGACAAGGAGGCACCTCCTTTCAGCTCCACATTTGTAGGGTCAAATGAAATGCTGAGACCTCCATCAGCTTGGTCAGCGCTGACTTTTGTGAGAGTAAATTGGCTGCATTCTTGATGGAGGGACTCTGAAATAATTCCATGCATTATCTTAAACAGCACTACACAGACTCAGCACTGTCAGTGAATCATACACAAGAAAGCTGGAACATGGTAGAGTTCAGCCACAAATGGTTCACAAACATTATCTATGATATTTAATAAATTCATATTGATAAATTTTGGGTTTACCTATGCTTTTACCATTTTCTCCAGGCAGCAGCACATCATCCAGTGTGAAGCCTGTCCTCTGGTAGTAGGGAGCTCGGTGAAATATGGTTTTTGGTTTGCTTTTTTTTTTCAGTAGATAGAGAGGCCTGAAGTGCTCATTGTCTGCGATGCTTTCGACAGGGACCAGTTCTTTGTATGGATCCATTTGATTTACAATGAATTTGGTGAGTTTTTTAAACATTCTGGCTGTGGCTGAGGTTTTGAAGCAAAGCAAGGTGGATTTGTGCCTTGGGAAAGAGGGAACACAAGCTAAGCTGAATTACTTGAAATAACAGGAGGACATTGTAACACAGTGTGACTTAATGATTAAGAAGATTTCAAAATAATGACTCAAAACCCCCCTCACTGTCCAAGGACACAAGTTTCACAGGGTTGTTTCAGGGAGACTTTAGAGAGGAAGCAGCAGGAGCTGTGGGTTGTTTGGCCTTGTCCCCCTTTGCTGTTAACCTTCAGTGACAGCTGGCAGACCCTCAGGGTGCTGATTTTGGAGACAAATGTCCCCCAAAACAGAGAGACATCTACCCAGCCCAGCCTCATTGGGCAGGCCTTGGTGGTCTGCAGGGGAGAGCTGGTGTTTCAGAGCCAGAAAGAAATCCCTGTTTCTTTTCTGAGACAGCTTGTTTTTATCAAAAGGTTTCAGTTTCAACTTTCTCGTGCTTTATGGGAAGGAGCTGGGGAGGGGAAATTGGGCAATTAAGACTGGCATTGATGGGAAGGGACCTTAGGGCTCCTCCCATTCACCTCCCTGCCATGGTCAGGTACACTTTCCAGTCTGCCAGGCTGCTCCAAACCCCATCCAACCTGGTTAGAGACACTTCCATGGAGGGGGCAGCCACAGCTTATCTGGGCACCCTGTTCTGGGGCCTCAGCATCCTCAGAGGGATTTCTTGCCAATATCCCATCTAATGCTACCCTGTTTCAATTTAAACCATTCCAAAGACAAATAGCCTTGTATGCTCAAGGTTAGTAGCCCTTGCAGGTCTCATTCCCTTGAAGGTTTCTAAGAAGAGAAGAAAAACTAAACAAGAGCACTTAACAGAGAGCTCTCACCAACCTTCTCCCCTTCCCAAAGCTCTGGGATAATGCACTTACCTGTTTGTGGGGTGGGGGGTGTACAGAGCAGACTGTGGGGCTGCTGAGGTGATGTGGCCTCTGGAGAGCAGCAGGACTGGGGAGAAAATCTCTGGCTTCCCTTGTGCTCAGAGGTGTGGAAGTGTTTGTGAAGTACAGGAGCTGTGAGTTGGACAGGAAGCTCGCACCACCACAACTCCAGAGCAAAGAGTAAATTGATTTCTCTTACCTTGCTAACGGGGCTCCCTGAAGCAGCCCCTGGGCAGGAGCAGTGTTAGTCTGTGCTGGAAGACCCCTGGCTGTACCCAGCAGTTTATCAGGAGCTGTTCCTGGCTGTGAGGTCACTTCAGCAATTTTACATCCTCACCACCCGCGTTCCGCTTCCACAAATCGGCCGTTGCTTACGTAACGCTTCCTTTTTACTCATTGAGCAGAGTCTGTTAAAGGGGCTGTGGCTTCCTGGAACTTCTACAGATATAGGAGGTGTAAGTCCACTGCTGGAAGTGTCCCAGACCAGACTGCACAGGAATGTGTCCCTGCCCCTGGCTGCAGGTGGCACTGAGTGGCTTTAAGGTTCCTTTAGGACAAAACCATTCCATCATTGTGGATTCAGCTTTACAGAGCCATGTAATGCTGCTGTTCTTTGACAGATGGAGAAATGGACTCAGGAGGGGATATTGGCAAGAAATTCCTCTCTGTGAGGGTGGTGTGGCCCCAGAACAGGTTTCCCAGAGAAGCTGTGGCTGCCCCATCCCTGGGAGTGTCCAAGGGCAGGTTGGATGTGCCTTGGAGCAACCTGGGCTAGTGGAAGGTGTCCCTGCCCATGGCAGGGGGTGGGAATGGCCCATGAGCCTTAAGGTGCCTTCCAACCCGGGCCATTCCATGTCTCCTGGGAACATTGCCATGCTTGTATGACAGCAAAAGCCATCCATGAGAAGATTCCAGGACTCAAGCACAATTTTTTACCTGAATACTTCACTTTTATTAGTCTCTCTTAGAATACTGTACAAAGGAGTAATAAAAATATTCACACTTTATTTTAGAAAGTTCTCTACATGAGACTCCTGTATCCACAGCAAAAAGAAGGCTATGGGAAAAAAACCCCTAAAACTTTGTACAGAACATTCCTTTAAAAACCCTCCCAACTAATTCAGCTGATTTAACTGATCCAAGGAGGGTATGGACACACCAACACTCACATGCTTAAAAGATATTCTAGGCAATGATAAAGCAACATAAGTCACAAGAAGGAATATTAATGTGTTAACCCACTGCTGTCCCCTCCTTGAGGGCCAATACCAAGCTTCTAAAAACAACCCAAAATTGAACAGTGATTCTAACATAAAAGAGAATAAGTAGCCCTCCATTTATTTTAATTTTATAGGCTTTTTCCTACAAAGGTTTGGACTGTTTGCCAGCCTGGTAGCTCTGTGAAAGGACTCCCAGGTGAGGATCCCTGATTCAGGAACATCAGGCTGGGAGGACTTGCTGGTTTTCTGAGGGTCCTGGAGCAGGGGCTGCTGTGCCCCTTGGAAACGTGCGTGGTGCTGACAGTGGCTGAGGGGGCTTTGCCAAGTACAAGATGGGCCAGGCTGCTGCCAGTTCCTGAGAAGGCTTCCAGCCATTCCAAAGTTTTTAATTGCAGAACAAACCAGAAAAGCTTAAAATAACTTACCAGGAGTTGTTTTTCCATCACAGGAGATTTGATCTCTCCAGGTAGGAACTTGTCCTGATCATGATACAGGACCAGTGTGAGAGGGAATCTGTCACGTGTGATGTGATCAGAATCCCATTTAACATCAGTAACAATCAGTTATCTCCTCCCTGCAGCACCACATCTGTTCCTGTTTCGTTTCTCCTCCCACAATGTGGTTCCACCCTTGATCTGTCCCCTTCCAGGACATGTCTGACCACCCTTCAGCCTGCTCATGGTGTCCTTTCACTTCAGACTGCCTCAGGTACACCCAAGAATGGTGGTTGAATTACAATTGACTTCCTGCTTTTTATTTTTGATTGATCCTGACACCTACCCTTAAGCTGGGATCTTAAGGAAGTTGCTACCTCATGTGTAATTGTTCAAATACTTATTAATCATATATAGGTATTTAACTCACCACAATAGAACATGAAATCTTTCTTCAACTTGCTTCTTTCCATATTACTTATGTTTCCATTTAAGTTTCCCTTGACTGGATTAACTGAGTCCAAATTAATGTCAGTTATTCCATGGAAAAATGCCACACCTGTGTTGTGAAGAGTCTCATGCCATGACTCTGCCATTTGCTGTTTTGATAATTTGTGTGAAGGAGAAAAATCAAAAAATATTTATTTTTGTTGCTAGGCAGAGTCCTAATTACAATTTGGGGCTTTAGATTTTAGAACCTGCTTGTTTGAGAAGTTTATAATCCCATTCTGAGTCCCAGCTGATCTTTAATTTAAGAAACAGGGTCAGATAGTGTCAGTGACCACACAAGTGTTCAAACCCACAGCTGTGTTATTGCTGTATGCCATAAAAAAAAAAAAGCTGATCCTTTCAATTGATAATTATTCTAAATTTACAAATCTGTGATGTGCATATGCTTAGAGATACCCAGCATATGTCTGTCTGGGAGGAGTCATGTTTGAAAGCATCTAGAGGCTGTTTCTGTTCCAAAATGATGGTTTTCCCCATGTTTTCTATGACAATAATTAGTTTCCTTTCCTTTCCCCTGGAGATGGAAGTGGTGTCTGGGCACACTCAGGTCTGTTCAGCACCACAATCAACATTTCAAGTTCAGCCTCAGGCACCCTGCCAGGACCTGCCCCTCTTGAAGGAATACTGCTCATGTCTGTGTCATTTCCCAGCTGATTGATGAAATATCTCTATTTTTATCACAATTATCATTGTCTAGTAGCTTAAAGAGCCGATTAGGGTAGAGAGTACCTCAGCTAAAGCAGCAGCTCTTCTATCCTAGGTTTGAAGGTTTAAACTGCCCATCAAGGAAATTGCACATCTGTCAATACCCTAGGGTCTCCAGCCAGATTCTCTTCTCCTTCTACCTGCTTGAAAACTTCCTTTTCACTTGGATTTCCACTTTCCAAACACATTAGGGAATGATTCTCCCTGTATTCCAGCAGCCCTCTGAGGTACACTCCAGATTTTCCCTTCCCTGTAGCAATCCTAAAGGAAGTCTGAGAGAGAAGTGAAGCAACTTGTCTAAAATTATGCATGGAGTAGTAACAGATCTAAAAATTCCCCCTTCCATGTCCTATGCTCAGATCATCCAAAACCTCAACATTCTCCCTCACGGCCTCTAAAGCTGGATTTGCTACTGCAAGGACAAAAAAAGAAGATTAAAAAGATTTATACCATTGTCAAAAAAGGTGAGACAATATAAGCACTAAGACAACAAAAATAAAGGTTTTCATGGGGTTACAGGGGAAGAGTGAGGGAAAACCCATTCCACCTGGGACACAACCCAAAGGGAAATCAGGTCATTCTGATTTTCAGTACAACAGTAAAAGCTGTCTCAGCCAGGAAACCTAAGCCTGCTTTATTTAGGTGGTAATTTTAGAGGAAAAAGGCTTGATTTTGTTCCTCTGTGACAGGATCTACTGTCAGTGACAAATTGACTCCTTTGCTGGTCAATTTATCTGCTGCTGGTGCTGCTGCTCACACAACCCTTGGGCATGGAGCTGAGGGACAGATTTCCAGGTAAGCCAAAAATCCAACCCTTGAGTCCATGGAGAACTGGCAAATCCCAGTCACGTGCACTTAAGCAACCAAGGAGCTGAAGTGAGGAGAACAATTCCAAGTCAAGGATGGCTGCCTGCTTGATTAGAGCAATCAGCCCTCCACCTGTACCTGCCCACTGTCTGCCTCTCCCACCCCTGTCCATGTCCATGTTCCAAGGAGCTCTGTGGCATTTGGTGTCAGTCATTAAATCACCCGCCCTCAGCCCTTGATCCAAATGCCCACTGAGCTCCTGTGCACATAAAAACAGCAGTTTGGGGTGGGGAGAGGAGTTACCTGGGCAGATTTGGGTATAAACTGAAAATAACAAGCATGATTTTGGATCTTTCCACCTTTTCCCCGGACCACACGGATGGTGATATAGGAAATCAAGAGCTTTGTCAAACTGCAGGGCACTTCTTCCTGTGCTGTTTTTAGGAAAAGAATTTCCCTTCTCAGTGGTGTCAACGATTGCAAAATAAAAATCTGTCGTTCACTTCCCCCTCCCGCTTCCCACCTAAAACTGGAAATCAGACCCCAAAACAATCCAGTCCTGGGAAAGTCTGGCTGTATCCCTTTGGATTTCCCTCACGTTCTGCTCAAAGCACCCAGCTTCAGGAAGGGAAATGTATTTTAAAGTGCATTTACCACAGCAATAGTACCAGCACTAAAAGCTTTTCCCCTCATCCCTATCCTCGTCATTCCATATCTGGAATAGATGAGACTCTTCCCAGAATTCATCCTTGTTGTACCTCAAAGTCTCAGTGGTTTTGCATCTATTGATGACCCTGGGAGAAGAGAAATCCGGCGTCGCACGTCCTGCTCCGCACTAAACTCTACTCTGGAGCTGGTTTGGATTTATTGGGCACGAGGATCCAGCATGCGGAATGTGTCTGTTGGGATCTGCTTTTAAACAGCCAAACCACATCCCAGTCTGTGTGGGGGGAGGAAATGGGGCTGGAGAGAGGAATCCCCCCTCAGCCCTGTCCTCCTCCATCCGCTCCGGCCACGCCGCTCAGTACTTGTTGATGCCAAAGATCCTCACGCCGTGGAACTGAGGCAGTTTGGGGATCAGGACGCTCATGAGGGAGATGGTGTTGATGATGAAGTGCACCCGGTCGTACTTGGTGTAAAAACTGGTTAGAAAATACCTGGAGAGGGAAGGTAGGAACAGAGGGAGAGGCAAACTGAGCTGTGGCATTCCAGGTGTTTATCTCCCAGAACACTGATGGGTGCTGAGACACGAGGCGGCTCAGCCAGCCCAGAATACTCACAGGACGATGGGCATGATGGTGAGGAACTTGCGGGACGCGGTGAACTGGACTCCGTAATCCATCTGCTCCCAGTGCGTGAGCAGCCGCGCCTTGCCCTGGTCCGGGGTCTCGAAGGGGGTTCCCTTCACGGTGTGCAGGAAGATGTACATGCTCTGCAGGACACACAGCGTCAGGCACACGGGACCCCAGAAACCCCAGATCCGAGGCAGGGGAGCTGGGCGCTTGCACCCCCGCGCCGCTCCACTAGAGGGATGTGGCGCTGCTGGAAAACCCGGAGCGGCCAGGGAAGCGGGGAAAGGAGAGTTGGGAAAGGCCGGGCCAGCTCGGCTGCTCCACGTCAGAAACCTCGCTCGGCTCCTGGGTGTGAGCCAAGGAGGCGGTGGCAAGATTACAGCCCTGGCATCTCTGCGATCGGGAGATTAGCGCCTGCCTGCTGCCTGCAGGCTCCCCGAAAATGTCTGGGAGAAGATCTGTCACCCCCTGATTACCGAGGGAACACAAGTCACAGACAAACATTCTGGCTACACCACAGCTCCCAAGTACAGCCACTCCTGGCCTTTAAATTCCTTTTTGTCCCCAGAAACTAAGCTGCCAGGGAAGATGGGTGAGAAGCCAGCAGCTCATGAGCTGAGTGCTGAGCAGTTCCAGTTTGGGGCTTTGTGGTTGTTTTTATCTCCTGAGCAGCTCCAGTTTGAGGGTTTGTGGAGGTTTTTATCTCCTGAGCAGCTCCAGTTTGGGCGTTTGTGGAGGTTTTTATCCCCCACTAGTAATAACTTACCATGAGGATTCTCAATCCCTGTAATTTTTATCTCTGGAATATTCCCAGGCTGAGATGTTATTTAAAATAAAAGATACACAATCAGCTGCTCCATTCCACAAGTTTTTTGTCCCCTGTGCCCAAGGGGATCTATGTGGCACTTGATCTTCAGAGAGAAGAATCAGTTCCTGGACTAATCTTTTACTTTAGGCAGAACAAAATCAGGGGGTTAATCTTGTTTTTTCTTAACTCTCATGAGGCTAATTCAGGTTTTACCAACCCCAGTGATAGGGTCTGTCACAGATTCCTTTGGGAAGGGGACACAATGAAGGATTTGCCCTACAGAAAATGAATCCACGTCCCCTCTGAGCAGCCTCACCAGGTGTTGCTGCCTCACCTGTACCTGGGCTGGATTTAAATCCATAACCCAGAGGCACCAGTACAGGCCGAGGGCAGGAGGTTGAGCAACTCACCCGGCATCTTTGGAAACACAAAGGAATTGTTTCAACAGGAATCTCAGCAGATTGCTCAGAGGAACAGCTGTGCCAAGGTTCCCCGTGCCGCTCCCTTACCAGGTTGTGGATGATGTTGGTGAGGGTCCAGACCACGGGGACGCTGAAGAAGGGGATGCTGAGGAGCACGACGTGCAGCAGCCCGATGCCCAGCACGTAGGACAGCCAGATGCCGCGGCTGTTCATCACCCGCGTGTTGGGGTTCACCTCGCTGTGCGCCGTTCCCACGTTCATCCTGCCTCTCCTGGCTGGCAGGAGCCCCTGCAACACAAACACTGAGGTCAGAGCCCGGATCCAAACTGCTCGGTGGGGCTGAGCACAGGCTGGTTGTCAAGCAAAGCCAAAATCTGCTGTTTGCTATAAAAATCCCCAGTCGGTTCCCTCCTCTGCCCCTCGGTATTGCCATTCTTAGAGCTGACGTCGCTGACTCCGGGAGTGGTTGAGATTTGGGAATTATGTGTGGGAAGCTTGTCTGTGACAGAAGCTTCTTGTGATTTGAGATGTTTTCCTGGAGCTGAGGTGTTGAGGTTCAATCCCACGATTGCCTGACAAAACTCAAACCAATACTTTGAAGCACTTCTAAATCCTCATCACAGTGTTAATCATGGAAACACACAGCACAGGAAACTTCCTGCATGTTTATGGAGTCAGCATGCCTTAAACTTGGGAAGGGACCAGAGCATTTGCAGAGGAAAGGCTCTGTATCAACAGATCTCCTAATTAATTTAACTAAATTAACATGGTTCTGCACGGCTCAGGAGGTTTGCTGGTCTCCTACTCTGGCTCATGTGTTTTGCCTCAGATTTAAGACTTACAGAAGGGGAAAAAAAGAGGAACAAAAAAAAATTTCCCCCCAGGGAAGGAATGAGATTCTTCTTGAGGAACGTAAAAAGGGAGAGATAACAGCACAGAGTGCCTTGGGAGGATGTTTCAGGAGGAAGAGCTGGGGAGGAGTTAGCCCTTCCCCTACCTGGAAGGAACAACTGCCATGTAGGAGGAGCACAAAGATGGTTTTCTGGACAGTGCCAGGAGGGAGAGGAAGCAAGAGAGTATCACCCTGTCAGAGCAAGTCCTTGGAGTGGTGCCTCTGAGACAGTGAAGGTATCAAGTGGCTTTCTGGACTGACACAGTGCCAGTGGCAGCAGGAGAGCTCTGGCTCACTGGTATCCAGGAATTACAGAAAACAGCACAAACTAAACCCACTGTAAAGCTGAATATCTTCACGCCAACATCAGGGAAATGTAAAATCATCTTTGTGTCCCAGGGAAGAGGAGCTTGATGAGATGATCCAGTTCATCCTCCTTGGCTGCAGCACCCCACAGTGAAGGCTGTTTCCTGATGTCTGGCCCTGTGGCTTTGCTGTTGCTTCCCACAGCTGGAAGCTGTGTTGCTGTTCCCTCCAGCTCTCTGGAGGCGAGCCTGAGCCAGATCCAACATCACACTCTCCTCACTGCCAGCTGTTCCCAGCTCCCTCATGGAGTGCTGGGCCTGCCTTGTCTCAGGAGCTGGCACCATCCCCACTCCTGCCCAGGGCTGGGACTCACAGCCAGCCTCCACTCCACAGCTCTTGGAATGCTCCAAGTAACTCCCAAACCTCTTGCATGCACACAGGCAGCTGTTGCTGCAGATCCTCACCTCACTGTGTCAGGGGCCTCATACCTGGAGAAGGATTTTGTTTCCAGGAAAGTGGCTGCAGGTCTGTGGGGTGCTCACTCCCTTGTTGCTCACCTCCCAGGTCACCAATTTATGGATATTCCAGAGAAAAGCCCAAAGTTTGATTTGGAAACAGGACAGGGGGCCAGAGTTCAGCACTTCACCCCTGGCAGAGGGAGCAGCTCTGTCCTAAACCTGCTGCAATTCCCAAAGGCTCTCAGAAGGAAAACTAGGGGTTGGGGTGAAGCATAAATGAGTCAAAAAGAGTCAGATTGTTACAACAACAAAAAGAAAAACACCCCATGGAATGTGTAAACAGGAGTGCTGAGTGCCAGACATGGGAAATAGATCTCCTGGATGTTGGGTGAACACTGTCCAGTCCTGGGAGGAGCTGGAGAAAATGAGCAGAGGTGTAGGAAAAACATGACCTGCAAGGACAGCTGGAAGGAAACGGGTTTGTTTAGTCTGGAGGATGCAGGAGACAGGAGTGAGGAACAGTTGGATGCTCCACAGAGAGCTGTGTCTGTGGGATTCCAGCTGTGCAGCAGGAGGAACCACATGGCTGGGTCTTGGAGCAACAAAAGGGTGCAGGAAAAGGGATTGGGAAGGGAGTGCCCTCAGAAAAGGATCTGTGCTTTCACTGGAGGCCTTCAAATCTACTTTCATCAACAGTTAAAAACCTTCTCTCCAGGAGTCTTTCCTGATCCCATTATCCAAGGGCTGTGGAAGCTCCCTGCAGCCAGAGGTGCCCATGGCTGGTGCTGTGGAATTTCCAACCATGAGTGTAACTTCCAAAAACTAAGGAGCAGCTTGGATTTGGTCTCTGTAAACGAGAGCAGTTGCAGACCCACAACTGGGTGGGAAAGGGCCCAACTTGGAAGCTGTATGTGAAGCAATTCTCCTTCCTGTGCCTCAGTTTCCCTTCCTTGTGAAATTAAGGATTAGAGGGGTGGGATGCTGGAACATACGAGAGGTTGGTTAATTCACTCTTGCAGGACATACAGACACACCAAGCACTCACTGCTGCAATGAGGGTGATTCCACATCTCCAATCTGTCCTTCCCCACCTTAAATATTTCACCAGCTCTGCCCGGGGCTCCGCAGCCCTTGGCCCAGCTCTCACAAATTTTGGATTGCACAAGCTTGGCTGAGGGCACACGAGCTCCCAGAGCCCTGTCCCTACCCCCATCCCACATCCCATGTTTGATTTCTAATTCCACACCAGGATTTGTTCACCTGCAGGACAACAAGACACAGCCCACCATGGGAAGGACTCCAGCCCCCCTTCCCAGAGCAGCTGCTGCCAGGCTCTGCTTTCCCACTTTTTTTTGGAACAGAAAAGCCTGAATGTTGCACCAGGCTGAGGGTGAAGGTCAGGGCTGTGCTGACATTGGACAGTGGCCATCCAAGGAGGGGAAAAGTCGGAGCTGTGGCCAGTGGCAAAGGGCACAGTGAGGTGGTGGAGCTGAGCCCTCCCTCTGCCTCATCCTGCCTGTCCTGCTCCCTGTCCGGGGGCAGCTCCTTCCTCACCTTTGTCCCCAGAGCAGTGTGACCACCACCTGCTCCTGTTCCCTTGCTTAACACTTGGACTTGATGATCTTGAAGGCCTTTTCCATCCTAAATCAATGATCCTATGATTTGGCAGTGCTGCCCCCCCTCCCCAGGGATTTCAGGATCATGCTCCAGTCCTGGCACCCTGCTGCAGGATCTTCACTGGGCTGGGGAGGGAAGGAGGGCTCGGGTGCTTATCTTGATCTTGAGTGTTCCCAGACTGCAGGTGCCGATGATCCCACGGATCACAGATCCCAATCTCTAGCAGCAACAGCTGCCACCTCCCAAACAAATCCTTTAAACCCTTCTGTGCCGCTGGCAACGGATGAACCCGAGCATGGAGGACATGGGGGACGCTGGTGAAATGGGCCGTGCTGGGTGAGAGGTGACACTGGGAACACAGCGTTCCGTGTCCCTCCAGCCCGAGGCTGTGCTGGACGTGTCAGAGCCCCAGCGCTGCCCGGTTCCTCCTCGGGGGCTCGGGGCTGCCAGAGCCCCGGAGGGGACACGGGGGACACGGGGAACACGGGGAACACGGGGACGAGGACACGCGTGAGCCGCCCCGGCTGAGGGCGGGGATCCTGCCCCCTCGGCCTTTCCTGGTGGATTTAACGGGAGATCTTGGACACCAAGAGAAGGCCGAGCTTGGGCTCCTCCGGGCTCAAGTGGGGTCCCAGACCCCACTTTCCTCCCCGTTTTCCCGGGACGGGACGGTGCCCCAGGAGGCCGGGGCAGGACCCGCTCCCGGCCGGGCTCTGAACAGCGCGACCCCACCGTGGGGACCCGCACTATGTAACCGGGACCCCCCCCTCCGCTCCCCAGCTCCATCCCAGCACCCGCTTGTCTCTTTTGCGGTGTTTTCCTTTCGGGCCGGGCCCATGCGAGGCACCTTCCCCCGGCCCGGCCGCGGGGCTCGGCCGCCGCTGCCGCCGCCCCCAGGGAGGGCAGAGCCCCCCGGTCCTGCCCCGCGCCCCCGGCCCGCACTCACCGCTCCCGCCCGGTCCGGCCCGGCTCGGCTCGGCTCGGCGGGGCCGGCGCTCGCTCCGCCGCGCTCCCGGTGCGCTCCCGGCGGCCCCTCGGCCCGCCCCGCCGCGGCACGCCGGGAGCTGTAGTCCGGCAGCAGCGGGAGAGGCGGGGCCGCCATGGGAACCGGCGGGAGCGGCTCCGGGAAGGGCATCGGGGGATGCACCGATCACAGGGGACCCCAGACCCCGCTGAGTGCCTCCAGCCTGCCCGGGGAGGAGGGGTTGCCCCCCCTGCAGCTTCTCCCAGGGAAATCCGAGGGTGGGGGAGCACTGGGGCAGCTTCCAGCAGGAGCTGTGGCTGCCCCATCCCTGGAACTGTGCGAGGCCAGGTTGGACAGGGCTTGGAGCGATTTGGACACTGGAATGTGTCCCTGCCCATGGCATGGGGTGGGACTGGGTGGTTTTTAAAGTCCCTTCCCACCCAAACTACTCTGATTCCGTGATAGCATGAAAATCCCAGCGGCAGCATTGTGCATACAGCCCGGGCAGGCCGGCAGCGCTGCAGGACACCCAGCCAAGGTCGGGGCTGGGAGCGAGCGCGGGATTCCAGCGCTGGAGCGCGGGGGAGACCATCTGGCTCCGCTTTTGTTTGCACAACCATCAAAGCCCATCGCGTGGGGCTGGCACGGCCCACGGGTGCCGCAGCCATCTGTGCAGGGCTCTGTGAGTGCCTGCTGCCGGCTCTTCCAGCAGCAGAGGGGCAGCGCCGGCACCGCTTTGGGTGCAAACCCCTGCCCGTAGCCCCTGGCAGTGTGCGGGGCCCCAGCGAGGTGCTCCCGGCTGCCCACGGCTCTGCCGGTGCCACTCTGTGCCCCCCGAGCTGGCACAGCCCACGATGAGTTTCGGTGTTGGCCCAGGTGGAGTCACAGCGATGTCGAGGTTCCCTGAGTGCCCCTGTGCCTCCCTGTGCTGAGCTGTGTGCCCTGACCCTGTCTGCATCCATCCTGACAGGGCACGGCCAGAGCACGGAGACCCCGCGGGCTGCCAGGGCTGCCAGGGTGTCACATGCTGGCACCGCGCTGCTGCCAGGGCACGGGGTCACTTGCCGGAGCCAGAGCTCAGCAATGTCTGCCTCCAGAGGGCCTTGGGCACGGAGAGACGCAGACGCGGGGTAAAGCAGATGAAAGGCCCCTGATTGCCACCCGCTAGAACCGCGTTGTCCCCGCCCGGCTCCTCTGCGGTGCCCTCTTGGCAGGGCGCGGTGCGGGGATGCCGGTGCGGAGGCGGGGGATCCCACGGGATCCGGTCCTGCTTTGCAGGAGATCCACGCACGCACAGCAGGCTCTATTTTTATCCTGCTCCTGCCTGACTGAGCAGCTCTCAGCGCGGTGACATCTAATTTAGCAGCTTCCCCGCACCCCGCTGGCTCCGCACGTGAGGGGGAAGCACAATGCAGCAGCTATTTTTAAACGCCCATAAATATTCATCGCTCTCCGTGATGCAGCAGCAGCCGCTGCCGGTGGAGCGCGGGGGGGACCCGACCCCGCTCCCCGGGCTCCCCACACCGCGTTCACCCGCCCAGGGAACACCGGCACCGGGGGCGGGGAGTTCCCTGGGGGGGATCCGGCCCCATCCGCTCACCGGCAGCTGCAGCCGCGTTCCCCCCGTGCTCAGGGGGCTGTTCCCGTGTGGATTCTTAGGCCTCGTTCTCTCCCAGGCCCTGCCGGTGCCGGGCCGTGCTCAGCTCCCGCTCTGCTGCTGCCGGTCCCGCTGCCCGGTCGATGCCGGTTATATTTAGCTCGGTGGTGGCAGCGAGAAGCGGGTGCCGGCTATTTTTAGCCATCCTGCGGTGGGAAGGGTCCGCGTGGGTCGTGCTGCACTGCAGGTTTTGTGCTGTGGGTGCCGTGTCCTCCGCGTGGGACCCCTGTGGGGTGCAGCCCTGGGGCTGCTCCCGCTGCCGGGGTCACCCACGGCCTCTCCGGTCCCAGCTCGGTCCCCTCACACACCTGCCTGTCACCCTGGCCCCGTCCCGGGGCGTGGGGCTGTGTCACCGGAGCCGCCACATCCCAACACGCCCATCCCTGCTCCCGGCGGCGCTGGGAATGGTGATGGGCAGCACGGGGCTGCTCCGCTCCCCGGCCGAACGGGGAGATGCCGGAGAAGCGCTCAAGAGCACCAGCTGTGGCTGCCTGCTGCTGCCTGCCGGTGTCCCGGGACAGCCCTGCCCCGTGAGCCCGGCACCGGGTCGGCGTCGGGCTTGGCTACGGGCATGGAAACATCAAAAAGACCTCTGAGATCATCTCCTCCAACCAACAACCAAGCACTGTCACCTTCACCACTAAACCATTTCCCAAATACACATCCACAGGTTTTTTGAACAATTCCAGACCCAGCAATGGCGTGGCCCCGGGGGAGCGCGGGGGTCTCTGGGGAGGATCTGTCCGCGGTCGGGTCTGGCTGCCGTCAGGTTCCCTTTTCCTAATTGAAGTGAGATCCAGGCCAGGTGCCTCCTAAACGTTTATCCCCGTACAGCAGCGGGAGAACGTCAGTGCCCGGGGCCGGGCTCTCCCGCCGCGGAGATCCGGGACCGGGGCAGCGGGAGCCGCGTCTCTCCCGGCGGCCCCGGGGCCCGGTAACGGCAGCCGCTCTCCATGGTCCTGAGCCAGACTCGCCGGTGCCCCGGGGCGGCGGGGCCCCGAGCCGCAGCCCAGCCCGGCCCGGAAAGCTGGGGCTGGGCTGGGGACCCACTCCGGTTCCCCTGGATCTCGCCCCGCCCGGTGCCGCCGCCGCGGGTCGGGTTTCCCCGAGTAAGCGATGCCGGCGCGGGGCGGGGGGGGCACCGTGACCCCCTCGGAGTGGGGGTAGGGGGGTCCTGCTCCCCAAGAAGAGCTGGGGAGGGGATGAGGGAATTCCTGGGGGATTGCGGGGGCAGCACCGGGGGGCACCGAGGGTTCCGGCGGTCGGGCGGAGCCGGGCGGGCTCCCACCGGAGTACGGCGGGGCCGCGGGGGGGCGAAGGCCATGGAGTGTCCCGGGACGCCCCGGTCCCAGCTGCCCCCGGCTCGGGGGTCGCGGCAGCTCCTCACTGGGTCTCTCCGGTGTCTTCCCGCGCTTCCCGGTGTAAGGACCCGGGGCAGCGCTTGTCTCCCGTGGGGCGAGGAGCTGGGAAGGCTTCGGGCGCGGGGCCGAGGGTGCTCGGCGCTGCACGGCCCCCCCGGCGGGGCGGGTCGGGGGCGGGGAGCCCCGGGGAGGCCCGGGCGGAGGATCCCGCCCACCGGCCCCGCCGCCGCCGCCGGCTCCGGGGCCGCCGCGCTGCGCGGGGCGCGGCCGCTCCGGCCCGGGGCGCGGGGCCGCTCCGCCGCCGGGGGCTGCGCAGGCAGGTGAGTCCGCAACGGGACCTCCGGTGGGGCGGGAGGCGGGGAGGGGAGGGCCGGCAGCGCCGCGCAGAGCGGAGCTTCCCCCGGGGAAGCACCGGGGCTTCCCTCGCCTGCGACGCCCCCGGTGCCAAGCGGGGCCGGGGGGATCCCCGGGCATCCCCGGGCTCACGGAGAATCCTGGCGTCCGCGTTGCCCCCGGCTCCTCAACAGCATCTCCTGGCGCTGGCGGCGACCCCCGTGGTCGGGCTGGGGATCCCGCGCTCTGCTGCGGGCTGGGAAACCCGCGGTGGGGCAAGGGCTGGCTCGCTGTCGTCGCTGCCGTTTCTGGTCCGCGTCCCACCCGCAGGGGTGTCCCGGTTCCGTGGATGCAGCAGCTCCCTCCCGGGACACCGCGTCCCGTCTTATTCCAGCGGTTTCCCGGGCAGTGGGTACCACGGGGGTGTGTTTGTCCCAGGTTACCTCTGTCAGACCTGGGGGGCTGGTGCAGTGTGGGCTCCGGGGTCCCGGTGCCCTTGGTGTGCCCTGAGCTCTGGTTCCCTCTCAGGACCCTCCTGGATCGCGGGGCTCCGGCAGCGCGGGCTGAGCCCTGCACAGGTGTGACCTTGGGGTGTGTCGGCGTGGCAGGGCTGTGTGACAGTGCCCGGCACTCGGGTGCTCTCCTGCCTGTGCTTGGGGACCACCCTCTGCTGGCCGCCTCTGCACCACACCGAGAAGCCCCGGTCAGCACCCGCAGCGGGTTTGCCGGTATTGGGGTGCTCCGGGGAGCAGAGGCACCAGAGGAAGCTTTGCTGGTGGAATAGCTCGAGGCTCCCGCTGCTGCACTGAGCTCTGCCCGACCGGCTGACACAGGTGCCTGTTAGCGCCAGTGGCTTCGATTTTGGGATGCTGGGAGAGCACCTGGATGCTGCCCCCAGAGCTGCTCTGCCATGGCCAGCACAGGGACAGGCTGGGACCCCTGGACGTGCTGGGAGCCAGGGCTGGGAGAGCCGGGCAGCGCTCGGAGCGCTCAGACACGGCCCTTATCTGCTGCCACCACCCTGGGAACTCGTTGCATGCTCAGCTCCAGTGAATTTCCTTTTTCTGTTTTTGTTTCTTTCCTGCTGACGCTTTTCCCCTCCGGAATCAAGGGCTGGATGGGGCCCATGGTTACGGGGTGGTGTGAGCAGCCCGACCCCACGGTGGGGTGGCAGCGGGCAGAGCACAGCAGCACCCAGCACCCACCTGTGCCGGTCCCCTCGGAAGGAGAAAACCCGCCGCGTGTGCCCCGGGCGCTCCCGGAGAGTGGAGCCGGGAGCAGGGACCTGCTGAGCCGCTGCCTGCACATGTTTTCCGTGCCATTCCCCGGGGGCCGCCTGCAGCGGCCGCTCGCCCGGAGCCGGGGCTCGCTCTGGTGCGTCCTCCGGCCGCCGCAGGATGCATCGGCCTCCTGCGAGCAGCGATCGCGGCGCCGTGACCTTGGCAGGGCGGGAGCTCACCCCGCCTCTGGCTCAGCCCGAGCGCCTCCGGTTGTTACAACCCAGCTGCCGGCGCAGGAGACGTGCCCAGCCCCTGGGGCCTGATCCTGCCACGCAGGAGCCTCGAGCGAGGTGATGGCCGGGCATGGGGGAAAGTGTGAGCCATGACAGCTGTCCTGGTCCCCATCCTGGTCCCTGCTTCATGGCCAGGGTCAGATGTGGTGCTCACAGCCAGCACAGTGACAGTTCTGCCCCTGTCTCCCCTAGCCTGACACTGTCTCCTTGTTGTCCCTGTCTCAGATGTGCCAAGTCCAGCTGAAGCACCGTGGGTGTGAGGAAGGCGGTGCAGCACCATGACTGCGGCACAGGGGGTTCTCCTCCGCCCCATCACCATGGGACTTCTCCTGCAGAGCCTCTTCCTCCTCCTCCTCCTCCTCCTGGGCTCCTGCCTCCACGCAGCCACTGCCTTTCCCAAGGGCTGTTACCCCTCAGAAGAGGAGGGGCTGAAGACCTTTCGCTGCAGCAACGCTCAGCTGACCGAGGTCCCCAGGGACATCCCCAACGACACCAACAAGCTCTACCTGGACTTCAACCAAATCCCCTTCCTGCCTCGCGATGCCTTCCGGGACCTGCCGCTCCTGCTGGAGCTGGATCTGTCCCACAATGCCATCGCCAGAATTGAAACTGGGGCTTTCCAGAGCCTGGCAGAGCACCTGCACTCTCTGGACTTGTCCTCCAACAGACTGGTGTCGGTCAGCAAAGACGCCTTTAGCAACCTGAAAGCCAAGGTGAACCTGTCCAACAACCCGTGGCTGTGTGACTGTCGGCTGCAGGAGCTGATCCGTGCCGTGGAGCTGGTGGCTGAATCCTCGGGGGGCATCGTGTGCGACTCCTCCACGCAGGAGGAGCACGTGGGCAAAGCCTTCCTGCAGGTCATTGCCGACACAGACCTCTGCAACGTGTACAAGAAGACCACGGACATCGCCATGCTGGTCACCATGTTCGGCTGGTTCGCCATGGTGATTTCCTACCTGGTTTATTACGTCAGGCAGAACCAGGAGGACGCCCGGCGGCACCTGGAGTATCTCAAGTCACTGCCCAGCAAACAGCGGCGATCGGAGGAGTCGTCCACCATCAGCACTGTGGTGTGAGCACAGCATCCTGCAGGACACGGGGACGTGTGGAGCTGGGGACCGGCCGCTCCAGGGGCTGTCACCAACCACTGGCATCGCACAGAGATACTCACGGATTTGTTCTCTTCTCCTCCTGGAAGCAGCAACCACGGCTGATGAGTCCCTGGCTCTGGTGGCTGAGGTCAGGGATGGGTATCAGACATGAGCATGGAGGATCCCCAGCGTCTTCCCAAGTCATGGGGGACTGGAGCAACCCGAGCATCCCCCTGGCATGTGGCCATTGCTCTGACTGACTTGGACATTTGGACTTCATCTAAAACTTTTTATATTTCCTTTGCAGAGATCCCTTGGGGCATTATGGAATCGGTGTTTTCATCTCTCCCTGGCTCCTCCCTTGGCTGCCCAAGGGATGGTACGGCAGCCCAGGGCAGCCTGGGCCTGGATCCCTGCTGGGAGGGCACTGGGGAGGAGCAGTACGGGTGCAAGGCCAGTGTCCTGCCAGGTCACTGGCCCTGGAGGGTCACGGGCTGCGACCGCAGCCAGCGGGACCAAGAGGTGGGGCAGGGGGTGGGGACACACCGGTTGGTACCGCCCCATCTTCTGTTTCATCTCCCTGCCCCTTTCCCGGCGCTCAGGCCAGGTGGGGCAAGGGGTCTGGGTGTCCCCACTCGGACATGGGGTCACCGATGGGCAAACCCAGAGCCTTTCCCCTCGGAGTGTGGGGAACGAGAACCAAATGGGGAATGAGCTCCCTGGGGCAGAGCCCTTTGGGGCTGCCAAGGGATGTGGGTGCTGATGGAGGGGCAGCTGGGGGTCCTGGCAGTGGGTCCAGCCCTGCTGGGATGTTGGAGGAGTGGAGTTCCCCTCGGTGCTCTCGGGGGCCATGAGGGAGGGTGTTGGCAGCACCCTTGGCCATCTGCTCGTGTCCCTGCTGGAGGGGAGCTCCCACCTCACAAGCTGCTGACCGGTCACTGTGATGGGAAGCAGGATGGAGGGAGCTGCCACGGCTCCTCCGTCCTCTCCCCACCCCTGCACTGGTGTCAGGAGCCTGAATCTCCCCATAAATATCCCAAAGTCCCTTCTTGACACTTCCAGTATTGGGCTGCAGGTTCCTGGTGGCAGTGGTGGAGGCGATGCTGAGCACAGGGCCGGCACAGGCAGGGGTCAGTGCCCACTTTTGGGCATGCAGGGTCCAAATGGCAACTCAGAGCAAAACCAGAGCATCCCCAGACTCTTCCACCTGCCTGTCTGGCCTCTGGGACATCTGGTTTTGCTGGTTTTGGCCTTTTTTTAAACCAACCAATGCTAAATTGCCTTAACTCACCAAGAGCACCAACCAAAGCTGCTGGAACCTCCTCTGTACTGAGCCAGAGCTGCCTTGTGGCCCGGCCCAGCCTCAGCCCCTGGCGTGGGCAGCTCCAGCCGCTGCCGGTGTCCCCGTGCCCCGGTGCTGGTGGGAGCAGGAGCAGGAGCAGGGCCCACGCCCTTCCACAAGTGCCTGATTCCAGCACAGAGCAGGAGCTCTGCAACGCACAAACACCTCAGCCCCAGCTCCCATCCGGGCGTCCCCGCAGCCCCACGGCAGCTCCTCCCCTCTCTACAACCGGCTGAGGAGAAAAGGGGCTGGGGGGGACCCGACTGAACCCCCCCAAGGCTGCTCCCCCCAGGCCACCGCTTGTGCCGGGACCACCCGACCCATCTGTGTTTGGGTTAAGGGACATTTTAGTTCTTCCTTTATACGACAATAAAGTTGGCTTTTACTTTGGAGCCGGTGGCCGGTGTGTGCTGGTGTGTGTGTGTCTGTGGCTCAGCGGGCCCTGGTGATGTTGTGGCTGCAAAGGAAGGACGGAGGTGCCCGCGACAGGCGATGGCTTTGTGGCTTTGTGGGCAGGCGCTTGCAGAAACAGGACACCCGTCCCTCCGGTAACCCTGCCCCAGCCTTCAATAATGAACAGCCGCGCCTCGGATCGGGTCGCTGGCACGGTGCCGGTCCCCGCGGCACCCAGGACACCCTGGAGCGCTTTCCCAGGGCTCTGCTCCGCTGCCTGCCCTGCCGTGCCCATCGGGGGTACCCGGGCAGGATCCTGACGGCCGGGAGGGACAGGCCCTTCCAACACCACGGTCCCACCGGGCCCCACTGAGGCCTCTCCGGTCCCAGCCCCGTCCCGGTTTGCCGGCGCCTCTCCCCGCGTGTGCTGGAGTCTTGTGCCATGGAAGGTGAAAGCCGGGCTCTAACGCAGAGTGACAGTTCCCGCTCGTGGGACATTAACCTTGTTTGTCACTCGGCTGTCTCCAGACGCAGACCCCGGGCTCTGGAGCAGATGGCTGCCGTCCCCGCTCCGGTCACTGCCTGGGGATCCTCCTCCCACGGCTCCCGGAGCAGCTGGGGAGGGCTGGGGGACACGCAGGACACGTGCCCCCAGCTGCCACCCTGCCCGTGGCTCCCTGGAGTCCTGCAGGTGTCCCCTCTCAGGGGGCTGGATGATGCTGAGTCCCCCGGGGTCAGCCCTGCTCTGGATCCTGTCTCTGGAATTGCTTGGATGGAAACCATCAGGCTCATTACAGCCCACACTGATGAGCACGGGGGAAAGGAAGTGGATTCCAGGGGTTTGTCTGGATGTGGAACAGCCTGTGTGGGTGTACAGAGGGATAAAATACAAGAAGTCTAACAAAAATCTGCAGTAAGATTTGGGAAGGTAACTTGGTGTGGGATGGAATTGTGCTGGATTTAGGCTGTCAGTACTGTCAGATATTTAATCAAGTGTGACAGGGAATGGGGAAGAACAGAAAAATGACTTTATGGGGATATTTCCTGGGGGTGCTGTGGCCAACCTGGGGTCTCGGGAGCAGAGGACACAGCCTGCCAGATGCCTTCAATCTCAAGGAGGGATTTTTCTCATCCCACTCTTTCCAGTTGCGAGGTGCTGTGGGGCCAGATCCTGCTGAGAGTGGGAGCTGGCACTTGGCACGGTGGGTACGAGGGGCTCAGCGTTAAAGGCAGCACTTCTCCTTCAGAAAATAATTAGAATCATCCCTTTTAATACCCCTCTCTGGGTAATTCGTTTCCTGATGTAGATTTATCCACAGGGATCAGCAGCAGGAGAATTAACAGCGTGACCTCCTTCTGTGCGTTCCAGCACGCCGGTAAATCTCCGTTATTAACTTCCAAGGAGCTCTGCCCGCCCAGCCTGCTCTGCTCTCCAGGATGGAGGAAAACGTGTCACTGGGGCAGATTCTGTGACCTGAATCCTCTTGGCAGGGATGACTCTTTGCCTGCCTGGCCCTGGAATCCCTTGGGATCACAGGGATGGAGGAGTGTTCCTAGGAAACCCCCAGGATGTGCCAGGGGATGCCCTGAGGTGGCTCCGTGCTCCCAGCAGCAGGGCTGGTGCCAGGGGGAGGTTTCAGGAGAAAGTTTTGGGAGGAAGTTTTGGGAGAAGCCTTGTTTTCCCCTGCCTACAAGTGGAGCGTGTTCCCAGACTGCGTCCTGAACTTTGAACTGATTCGATTTCCAAGAGGGAAGGAAGGATGTCTAATTGTTTAATTTCCACAATTAGAAAAATATTTATCAATAATTAGGAGTGATGGCAGCAATTATACTGGGATTAAAGCCAAGCTACACTTCATCACCCGCCTTTCATTCAGGGACCTTATTTATTTCTTTCACCCCCCAAAAAATCCATGTACAGCTGCATTGCTGCCAATAATGAATCATTCTTGTTCACTGCCTGCACAGGACTCATTAATCCAATGATGCCAGTGGTTCTAGGAAGGCTGCTGGGCACATCGTGTGGTCACTGGGCTTGGGCAGGAGAAAATTTAATTTCAGTGGGTAGGAAAATGAAGCAGAGCTAAAAATCACAATAGCACTTCCTGTGCCTGTGGTTGAGAGCTCAGCGGTTCAGCCAGCCACACACTCCCCTCCAGACTCTCTGGTGATTTCCCCTCTCATCACTTGTCCAGGGCAGGCATGGCTGAGTCCAGGGAGCATTTTCCACAGCTGTTCTTTTAGGATGAAGTTGTACCAATTAATAAAATTGTGTGACCCTCAAAGTTTTCGCTCTCAGTGGGAAATGTTGTATTTCCAGGTATTTTTCCTGTCTTAGAAGACCCAGGATCATCAGAATCCATGGTCTGGGGCTCAGTTTCATCCTCCTGTGGAAGCACCAGGGATCTGTGTCTGTGGCACTTTCAGTGTCACCTGGGCACTCTTGGAACATCCTCAACTCTTGGTCAAGCTTTGTTTTCAAGCATCTTTCCACCAAAATGGCTCCTGGTTGTGTCCTTGGAGGAATTCCTGGGGGATGGATTATCCATGGCTGCACCACATCCATGCCAGGTGTGAGGAGTACCTGGGATGTGCCAATCCCAGGGCACCTGCTCTGCCTGCTTCCCACAGCCCCTCTCCTTATCACCTGTGAGCAGGGGCCATGAGTTGTGTCCTGGGCAGCTCTGTGGCTCTTTCAACTCCTCTTGGCTTAAATTTAGAGTAATTTGTGGGTTAATGAAGCTGCTGCAGGGAGTTACAAGAGAACTTTCCCACCGGAGCCAAAGTGTCACTGTCACCCGATGGATGAGTGCCATCACTGCCTGCAGCTCTGCAGTGAATGTTTGAACACGTGTTCCTTAAGTGTTCCTCAAGTGGGTTGTTCCAGGCAGCTCTGATGGGAAAACAATGGGTTACAGCTTCCAGCTGGCAGATTATTCCTGTTATTTTTGCCATTTGTGGATGTTTCAAAGCTCTCGTGTGCTGTCAGTATGTGCTGAGATCCAGGAGGTCTGTGTGAAGAAGAGGACAGGAAGTTTGAAGTTCTAAATTTATTTTTTGTGAGGACTCCTCAGTGCTCTCAAGGTGTTGTGATGGTCCTTGGCACAGAGAGAGGTTGGAGCTGTGGGACCAGGGCAGGTTAAAGTGGGGGTTCAAAGGGCTGAGCCTCACAAGGGTGATGGAGTTGCCCCACCTCACCAAGAGCATCAGGCACTGCCCAGTTTTCTGTGATTTCTCCTGTAAAGCCAGAGCCAAGCAGAAGAAGAGGATTTGAGGAGGGTTTAAAGCAGTGAGAAAAGATCTTGCAGAGCTGTTGCAGCTGTGGGAGGTAGAGAGGGATGGGAACAGTTGAGGTGAGAGCTGCTCACAGGGATTTGTACATCCCAAGGTGTGAGAGGGAAGAGAGATGTGTGAGGGACGGTGTCAGCCACGAGAGGCTCAGCTGCTGCCCCAGGCACCCAGCTCCAGCCGGATGCACAGGACTTTCACACAGGAAAGGTCAGAGAGAAGCCACTTCCTGTCAGGTTTTTATGAGCCTCCACAGGATTGCTGACATAAACTCCTTTGCAATGTGATACTTAAATATTTGAGCTATTTTCCTGCTTTTAGAATCATAGAATTCCGTGATGGTTTGGGTGTGAAGGGATATTAAAACTCATCAGCTGCACCCCCTGTCAGGGCAGGGACACTTCCA